TGTATAATTTTTATTTATTTTTTAAAATATATTTTATTGATTTTTTTACAGAGAGGAAGGGAGAGGGATAGAGAGTTAGAAACATCGATGAGAGAGAAACATCGGATCAGCTGCCTCCTGCACACCCCCTACTGGGGATGTGCCCGCAACCCAGGTACGTGCCCTTGACCGGAATCGAACCTGGGACCCTTCAGTCCGCAGGCTGACGCTCTATCCACTGAGCCAAACTGGTTAGGGCTCTGACATCAATTTAAAAAAAGAAAGAAAGAAAGAAAGCATGGCCTGTTCCTACCCAGAGAAGCAATGGCAAACATTCTGTAGAAGTCCCACTCCTTGGCGTATCTGATAAAGTCGTCGGGATCGGTGTTCTGGCTGGAATCTTGCAGCTGCCACCACCGCAGGTACGCTTCACAAAGCAAGCAAAATATGCAGAGTTTCCCGTGCATCTGGGTGTCAAAGACAGAGCAGCAGCCAGTCAGGGGAAGCGGCGCTTTATATCAAAGGGGACCGACAGGGTATGTAAACGTTCTTTCATTCTGTTCACAATTAATTCTTTTAAAATGCAAACGCATCACCAAGTAAAGTTAGGAAATTAAAAAAAAAAAACTGTCACAACTTACGTTGATTTTAGTATTGAAAAGAATATGCCTGTAGGCCTGGGCTTTGCACAAAATAGCATTAATCAAAATGATAACAGGATCATACTCGATATATTTGTCTACAGGTTTCTGGCAGGATTTCTGAAATGATGCAAAAACAATATCAGAACAAGCAAATTCAGACATTCTGAAATCTTAAAGGGTTTCAAAATAGCAGAGCCTCTTCCGGATTTGCACAGCACTGAGGCCACACCAGCATTTATGTAAATACATGTCCATCCCAACACCAACTGTTCATCTATTCAAGACACGGTTTCAGAAGTGACTAAAAAGAATCTTCCAGGCTAGAAACATTAACTTTTTAATCTCACATTTAAGAAGCTAAAAGGATGTTTGATTTAAAGACTGATTTTAGCAGGAAAGTATCCCAGAAAGTTCTACGTTCAGTTTGCAGGAATCGTTATACATTTGTAATGTACTTTCACTGATAAACTTGCCTGTTGGCCAGATGGTCCCAACTTTGTGGTTCTTGAAACATGATTTGGAGAAAAGCGTTCAAAAAAGTAACCCCGCACCCAGAGCTTCTGAGAGCTACGACTGGGTAAAGAATGTGGTACAAGGCGTGGCTCAGTGGTTGAGCGTCCACCTGTGAACCAGGAGTTCACGGTTCAATTCCCAGTTAGGACACATGCCTGGGGTTGAGGGCTCAATTCCCAGTGTGGGGCGTGCAGGAGGTAGCTGATCCATGATCCTCTTTCATCATTGACTAAAGGCCCGGTGCACAAAATTCATGCATGGGGGAAGTGTCCCTCAGCCCGGCCTGCACCCTTCTCAATCCAGGACCCCTTGGGGGATGTCCGACTGCTGGCTTAGGCCCGATCCCGGCAGTTGGACATCCCTCTCACAATCCAGGACTGCTGGCTCCTAACTGCTCCTCTGCCTGCTGGCCTGTTCGCCCCTAACTGCTCTCCCCTGCCAGCCTGGTCTCCTGTAACCACTTCTGCCTCGACCCCCACCACCATGGCTTTGTCCAGAAGGACGTCCGGTCTAATTAGCATATTACTCTTTTATTAGTATAGATTATTAGTATAGATGTTTCTATCTCTCCCTCTCCCTTCCTCTCTGAAATCAATAAACACATATTAAAAAAACAAAATAAATGGCATCTCTGGTCTTCCAGTCTCATTCATACGAAGAGAACTTAAACATGGCTTATGGGGTGTACGAATGCTAACACTTGTCTATCAAAGGGAGCATATCTAGAAATAAAAGCGGCTTTAGTGTGAACCCAAATGTCGACCTAATCCGCTCTTTTTAATTCCTCTGCACAGCACCTACAATCCATGTCCGCCGGGTTAGGTCTCACCCGCAAACGTGACTGACCCCTAAGAGATACAGCAGTGTGCGGTAATGAGTTCCCCGTCACGACAGGTATTCAAGTACAGGTGAGACAGACTTTGGCCGAGCAGCCCGCTGAAGATCCTGACACTCGATTCTCATCACCCTAAAAAGCTGGTACAGTTGGTCCCCAAATCTCGCCACCCCGTTTTCTCCCCGAGGACCCCCCCCCCATACCAGACCACTCACGCAGATGGTTATCTTCAGCACCCCGTGGTTATAGTCTCGGTACAGCTCCTTGGCCTCCTGGTTGCACTCGATGCACCTGTACTGGCAGGAGGCCGAGGCGGCGGCGGCAGGAGGAGTGGCTGACATCTCTTCGGGGTTCCCCTTGCCCGTTGTCACCCCCTCGGGGCTCCCCTTCCCCGGCCGCAGCCCACCCCGCCCACCAGTACCCATTTCTATGCCACCGATGCCCAGAACTTCCGATTCAGTGACGCGGGAAGACGTCAGAAGCCGGACCGGAAGGTCTGCGCCGCGCGGTGCTTGCTGGGATTCGTAGTCCCACCACCTGAAACAGGCCCCGAAGCTGGTCCGGCGGGACTACAATGCCCAGCAGGCAATGCCACTCTCCCCTCCGCCCCTTGCCGCCGCCCACCTGCCGGCCGCGGGGTAAGTCT